AGCAGGGTTTAGGGCTGTTGTACATAGGATCGCTATAAGTCTCAGGTAACCAAACAGCACATAACAACAACAACAAACCACACTTTGAACCATCCTCTTTTTTTTGCATATTTCATTATTAGTAATATGCACTATATATAGTATTGCAGCAGATAAATTCATGATGTTTAAAGATCAGATTTGTAGCGACTCTGAGAATGATAAGAAGTAACAATGGAAACCAAAAAAAAAAAAAGTGCTCAGATTACATCAAAACTGATTTATAAAAGACATAGGAATCTCTCTTCTAAGTTGGGGCATACCAATTTGTTATATTTGAGAAACCTGAGAATGAAGGCACAGCAATAGAGGTGACAGGCTGAACTGCATTATACAATGAGATTACATGCTATAAAAAGATTGTTACGACTCCTGATCATGAGTCAACAAGCATAGGTTAGAACTCAGCTATGCCATTATGTTGTGTGCATTACCAAGAATAATTTGCAAGATTATACACAGAAATAATGAATATGACCTACCTGGCAGAAGATAGTCATTTAAAGATAACTTACATCATCATAGGGATATGTGGTGGAGTTGTCAGTAGGACTTGTACTACGAACCCAAAAGTGATGTCTTTCTGATTGTTTGGATCCACCAACAACTTTGTTGTTGTTGTTGTTGTTGTTAAGTACTGTCGAGTTTTCGGAGGCAAGCCATTTCAGAAGTGGAAGCCACTCCTGCTTCCAGGCTTGTTTTAGTTGGGAAGTTCCACCAACACTGTCCACCATGGGTACCCATTACCACGTTTGGCACATCGATCACTGTCACAGTCTTCAGCATCACAGCAACCATGAGTTACCTCTGTAGAGCAACGCACAGACCAGTGCTATACCACCTCCCAGGATTGACAACTTTAGGGGGAGAAAAAACAGGAAGCCTCTGGCTGTGTGATTTACAGGCCTGTGAAAACCCACTGGAGTGTCAGCTTTGAGTCAGTTCCAACTCAATGTCAGTGAGTACTTTTTTTTTTAAACATCTAATAAGCATCTAAACATTGGACAATGAATTTGGATGACAAAGAAGAATTGTTGTCTTTGAATGGTGGTGTTGGAGAAGACTACTGAATATCCCATGTGCTGCCAAAAGAACAAAGTCTGACTTGGAGGAAGTGCAACCAGGGTGTTTCTTATTGGCAAACATGATGGAACTTAATTTCACATAGTTTGGGCATGTTGTGATGCCCAGTCATTGGATGGGCCATCATGCTGGAAAAGTCATGGGCCAGTCGTTGGGAAAGGACATCATTCTGGGAAAGGTGGAGGGTCAGAGAAAGAGAGGAAGACCATAAGCAAGATGAATTGACCCAGTGACTGTATCAATGGGCTCGGACATATGATGATCACGAGGATGGTGCAGGTCAGGGCAAGAATCAGATTTGTTGGCCATGGGGTTGTCATGATTCTTAGTCAATTAGAAGGCACATACTATATTAGCAATGATAATATTTAAGCGAGATCTGGTGGCCTAGTATATAGGGAGCTTTCACTGATAACCCAAAGGCTATCACCTCTCTGGTGGTCCTAATTCACCAAGTAGAGAAAGCTGAGCTATCCCTTACAGTGTGATTTACAGTCTTGGAAACCCAATGGAGGGTCAGCCATGGGATTCCAACTCAAGAGAAATGAGAATAGCTCTCATTGAAATTGAATAATAAATTGAAAAACACTACTGATATTTTTTAAAGGCAGATGATATAATGGATAAATGTACTAGTAAGAATTTTATGATATATTTGGAGTCCTTGGGCAGTTCAATCAAACCTTTGGCATTAGCTAACACATTAAGCTGTTTGAATTTATCCGGAAACACCTTAGTGTTTATGCCTACATGTATGGGTTCTCATACAGGAGTCAGATTCTACTTGTTAGCAACTAACAACAAAAACAATAGTGATATAATAAAGTCTTTGTTGTGATCCACACAGTCAAAAGCCTTTGCATAGTCAATGAAGCACAGATAGACATTCTTGTGGTATTCTTTGCTTTCTGCCAAGATCCATCTGACATTAGCTATAATATCCCTAGTACCACGACCTCTTCTAAATCCAGCCTGCACATCTGGCACTTCTCTCTTGACATATTGTTCCAAATGTTCTTGGATAATTTTCAGCAGAATCTGGCTTTCATGTGATATCAATGATATTGTTCGATAATTTCCACACTCTGTTGGGTCACCTTTCTTTGGAATGGGAACAAATATCGATCTTTTCCAGTCAGTGGGCCAGCTGGCTATTCTTCAAATTTCTTGGCACAACTTAGTGAGCACATCCAGGCCAGTGTCTGTTTGTTGAAATATGTCAATTGGTATACCGTTAACTCCTGGAGCCTTGTTTCTTGCCAATTCCTTCAGAGCAATTTGAACTTCCTCTTTCATCACCATAGGCTCTTGCTCATATGTCATTTCATGAAATTCTTCTGTGTCAGCCAATTCCTTCTGATACAGTGACTCTGTGTATTCTTTCCATCTTCTCTTGATACTTTCACAACAAGCTGTGGCTGACTCTAAGAAGAATGGGAATCCCAGAACATTTGATTGTGCTAATGCGAAACTTATACTTGGACCAAGAGGCAGTTGTCAGAACAGAGCAAGGAGACACTATATGGTTCAAAATCAAGAAAGGGGTCTTTCAGGGATGTATTCTGTCTCCATACCTTTTTCAATCTGTGTGCAGAACAGATCATCTGAGATCCTGGGCTATACGAAGAGGAATGTGGTATCAGGATTGGTGGAAGAATCATCAACAACCTGCATTATGCAGATGACACAGCCCTGCTTGCTGAAACTGAGGAGGATCTGAAGCGCTTGCTGCAGAAGATCAAGGACTACAGCCTCCTATATGGACTGAAGCTAAATGTCAAGAAAACAAAGATTCTAACCACTGGGCCAATTGGCAGCATCAGCATGGATGATGAAGAGATTGAGATAGTTAACAGTTTTAATTTACTTGGCTCCACAGTCAACACTCTTGGTTAACAGCAGCCAGGAAATCAGGAGATGAATTCATTGGGAAAGTCGGCTGTGAGGGACTCTCAAGAGTACTGAAGAGCAACGATGTCAGGCTGGAGACTAAGGTGCGCCTGATCCGGCTATAGTCTTTGCAATTATGTGCTATACATCAGAGAGTTGGACAGTGAATAGGGTTGATAGAAAGAGGATTGATGCCTTTGAGCTGTGGTGCTGGAGAAGAGTGTTGAATATACCATGGACTGCTAGGAGAACAAACAGGTTTGTCCTGGAGAGTGTGAAGCCAGAGTGTTCCCTGGAGTCAAGGATTCTGAAGCTTCATCTGGCATATTTTGGGCATGTTGCAAGGAGGGATTGTCCTTGGAGAGGGACATCATGTTTGGCAGAGTGGAGGGGAGGCGAAGGAGAGGAAGACCTTTGGTGAGATGGATCGATTCTGTGACTGGAGCGGTGGGAATAAGTGCGTTTGAGATGGCTAGGTTGGCACAGGATAGAACAGCATTTAGAGCTCTTGTACATAGGGTCACTATGAGTCACAAGCGACTCGATGGCGCATAACAACAACAACAACAATAAAGTCTTTAAGCTGTAGATACAGTATTCCTTGAGTTTGAAGAGGTATGCTTTGTACTTTTAACCAGAAAAGAAATGTGTGAAATAATTTGCAGGCAAAAGTATAATTAAATTTTACCTGGAATAATTATATATTGCAAGTTTCTTAGAAAGGTGCAACTAGGTACTGTGATAGGCTTAGGGGGGCCAGGGAGAAAGAGCTCTTTTTTAAATCAGATTTAAAAGTTTCTGGAGATATGACCCGTATTATCTCATATCTCTCCATAGGACACATTTTTATTTCCTAAAAAAATTTTTTTTCACATAGTAACAAGTTAGTGTCAAATACTGACAGAGTTCTGTGTGGAGATAAATTCTGGGTCAATTAAAGGCATCACCACAATGCTAGGAAGGATGATAGTGAAAAGATAGTTCAAAGAGGTCCTCAAATGGAAATGTGACTTTTGTCATAGTTTTTTAAAGGGTTAAGACCTGCCACGGAGGAAGTTTTTATGTCCACTATTACAAAGCAGTGCCATCCCCATGGTGGGTAGGAAGCAGCTGGACCCTTGAACTTTTATCAAATAAACCATGAGCATGGTAGCCTAATAATTAAATAATTTATAGCTTGTTTACATGTCATTTTTAAAAAATATTTCTTCTTACAAGTATGTTCAAGATAAGTTCAATAAACAAACCATCATTATGTCTGAGTATCTGGGTGGTTAGTGTACTCAATGCTAACCTAAAGATTGGTAGGGTTGGTAGTTTGAAGCCACTCAGAAATACCTTGAAAGAAAAGCCTGCTGATATTTTTTTTTAATAGTCAGTCATTGAAAACTCTTATAGACATAATTCTGCTTTGATACACATTGTGTTTTCTGGAGCCAGATTCAACTCTATAGCTACTAGTTAACTGGATCTCCTTCTAGAATGTTGTTGATTACTTTCAAGTCGAGCACGACTCATAGCGACCCTATGAACAAAAGGCCTGAAGCCTCTCTACGACCATTAACATTTATCAAAGTTCATAGTGTTTCCGGAGGCATGCTACTTAGGAAGTGGATACCAGTCCTAATTCCACTTTGATACACATTGTGTTTCCTTGAGCCAGAAGCAATTCTATTGCAACTCATTAACTGGATATCCTTCTTGAAATACTTTACAGAAATGGTGTCTGCACTATACTGCACTTCCCCTAAGGATAATAATGACATTGAAAAAGCAAAGAAATACAGGTGAAAACATGAAGGAAACTTAATCCCCAAAATAGCATCCCACATTTTTTGTTGCATAATAGTCATTTTTAGAGTATTCTCCCCACTACTATGCAAATATCAAGATGCATTTAGAAATTGTATTAGAAATAAATGGTCAAACAAAATGAAACATAATCTAATATAATACGACTTATATCACATATAGCTTAGTCTTATTTAATGTTAAATTTAGTTTCTTTTAGGTATATCTTTGGAATTCCTCCCCTGATCCTTGTTCTGTTGCCAGTAGCGTCTGCAGACTGTGATATTGAAGGTACAGACGGCGAGGGATATAAAAGTGTTCTAAAGGTCAACATCGAAGAACTGGTATGTGTTTGATTGTTTTCCTCATATCTTTGTTAAGATAATTCCAAATTCATTTTTAATTAGTGCTCTTTAAAAATATTTTTCTCTTTTACCTTAAAATGTCCATAACTATCCATTTTAGTCCTGTTTCTCTTCAATAACAAAGTTGAAAACACAATTCATCATTAATGCTTATGTTTCTTTACCTCTCTTTCAGTTAGCTAGTCTTCAGTTAGCATAATGGAGTGCAACAGTAAAATATTAGCATGTAAAGATACATATAGTTATTTTATGGTTTCTGAAGTGTAAATAAGCCCATGAAAGGAAGCAGCAGTCAAGAAATCAAACCTTGTCGTGCAGTGGGCAAATCTGCTTACAAAAGACTTCTCTAAACTATTAGAAAGCGAAGATGCTACTTTAACCAGGTGCAGCTACTCAAGTCACATTGTTTTCATCAACTCACACTCATCCAAAACTGAGCAATGAATTAAAAAGTCAAAGCAATTGCTGTGAAGTTGGAACCAGCTGAATAGGCTGACCCTGCAGCAAGTTTTGAATCTGTAAATAGCACTAGGGGAGATTTCCCATCGTTCTTTGTTCTTGCCAGGACACCCCAGGCAAATTTGAACCACCAGAGAAGTGCTCTTGTTGCATTAACAGCCCAATACCCACCTGACTTCACCGCTAGATGAAGGGTGTTGTTGTTGTTGTTATGTGACTTAAAGTTGAGTATGACTCATAGCAATCATGTCAACCACAGATCTGTCCTTGTCCTTTCCTGTGCCACCCTCATATTCTCTGACATACCCAAGCCCATTGCTACCATCATTGTGCAAATTCATCGTATTGATAATCATCCTCTCTTTTGTTGACCCTGCGCCTTTCCAAGCCTGATGTCACTTTTCAAGGAATAGCCCTTCCTAACAACATGCCCAAATTATGTGACTTGAAGTTTTGCTGTCCTTGCCTTAAGGAACACCCTCAGTGCACTTTCTCTAAGACGTATCTGTTTGTTGTGTTGGTAGTCTGTGAGATATTCAGTACTCTTCTTGAATGAAACACCTCAAAGACTTCCCTTCTTCTTTTGTCATTCTTCATAGCAAGTGATTTAAAAACCATGACCTAAATCATGCCCACCTTAGCCTTCAAACGGAAAAAAAAAACACATTACTTCTTGGTAATTTGGAGGGGTCCCTGACAGCAGGCTTTTGCATTGCAACATATTTCTTGATTTTTTGACTGTGATGCCAAGAGTGTTGATTGTGGATTCCAGTAAAATAAAATTGTTGACAATTTCAGTCTTGTTTTCATCACACATGTTTAAGATATTGTTAAAATCATCAGATAATGTACTGGGGGTGGCAGGGGAAGACATGGAATAGAGTTCTAGAAGTAAGAAAACAGAAATTATGTGAAGTAAAATATAGACTCAAAATAGGGCCAGGGTAAATATGAGACTTCTTTCTGCATGCCTTAGAAGAAAGGTTCATAATATATAATAAAGATCCTCTTTCTTTGTGGCCTATGGACTGTAGAATATAGATTCCTAGAAATGAGATGAATGTTTAAATGGAACAAATATCTTAAGATTCCTGAAAATTTATGGCCATTCAGTAAATTCCAACTCACATTGATGCTGTTCAACAGAACTACACTGCCCGGTAGGGTTTCCAAGTCTATGATCATTACAGAAACAGACTGCCACATCTTTTCCTGTAGACAAGCTGGTGGGTATGAACTGTCAGCCTTTTGTTCAACATTCAAGCATGTAACCACTGTTCTAATGGATCTTTAGATTCTTGATAAGTAGTATTTTCAGCCATTATTTAATTATTTACATTACATTATTTACAACTTACATAAAAATTTTTGAGATCACCTTTGCCAATAATGTGTTTATTTTTCAAAATATTAGCCAAAACAATAGAAAAAAATAATTATTTTCATTTACATTCCATTGTTTGACAGTGAAGTTGAATGCTTTAAAACTTCGTCATGATTTCTATTTCGTTCTTAAATATAGTTTACTCATACTTATGTCACATACTACAATTCCTCCTCTTACAGTGCACAATTCAATGCCTGCTAGTATATTAAAAATTGTGCACATCACCACTATCAGACCCAGGATATTTTCATCACCTGAAATAGAAACGCCATAATTATTAGCGATCATTCCTGTCACTTCCTCCACTCAGTCACTGGGAACCACTAAACTACTTTATGTCTATGTGGATGTTCCTACTTGGCAAAACACAAAACATTTTCATATTTAAAACATACAAAAAATTAGAAATGGAAGTAAACATCCTCAGTGTGATAAAATCATTTGTGAAAACACACAGACAATATCATACTCAATAATGAGAAAGTAAAAGCTTTCTTCTCATTATGAAGACCAACAAAAGGTACCCATTTAACTGATGCTACTCAGCATTTTACTGAACTTTCTCAACAACAAACAACTCATTGCTTTGAGTCAGAACCAACTTATTGCCAATTCTCCAGCAGATTTTTAGCACTCTAAGTTGCACTGGAGTATGTTGCCTATCTTTCTCCCTCAAAGGAGCTGGAGGATTTGAACCACCTACCTTTGGGTTGGTTGGCAGCACAGTAGTATGTTGTTGTTGTTGTTGTTGTTAAGTGCCATCAAGTTGTAGGTGACTTATAGTGACCCTATGTAGGAAAGACCTGAGCACTTGAATAACTTTCATTATTTCTCCAAATTCATAGGGTTTCTAGAGGCAAGCTATTTCAGAAGTGGATGCTACTCCTGCCTCCAAGCTTCTTTTACTCAGAGAGTTCTACCAAACACTGTCCACCATGGTTAACGATTAATGCATTTGACACATCAGTGTCACAGTGTTTAGCATCACAGCAATCACTAGTTATCTCTGTGCAGTAAATGGATAATTAAGGAGCAAAAATTAAGAATAAATACAAGATGTCCAAATTAGACAATAATAAATTAAACTGTTCTGACTCACAGAAGACATAGTCTTGTATACAAACCAACAGTATCCAATAAAGAATGATTAACGTCAATAACCGTTCAACAAAATTATATGGTAAGAGCTCAACACCCATACACACAAAATTAGTCATATCATCAGTGTACTAGCAGCAAAAATCTTTTAAAAGAAAATTAAGAAAACTATTAAGTTTACAATAGCATCTCAAAGAACAAAATATCTAGGAAAAAATTTAACCAAGAGGTGAAAAATGTGTGCAGTGGAAAATATAATACATTGATGAAAGAAAAGAAATAAATGGATGGGCAAATTTAATATTCTTGGAATTTTATGAACCTCTAGTGACCCAGTGGGTAAGGAGTGGTTCTGCAAACTTAAAGACAGAAGGTTCAAATCCCCCAGCTGCTCCACAGAGGAAAGATGGGCAGTCTCTTTATGTGTAATTTGTTGTCTCTGAAAACTCTATGAAAGATCAGGCATGAGTCAGCTCCAACTTGATTGTGCATAACAACAGTAGCAACAACAAGATATTTTTATTACCCAAAACAATCTAAAATTAATGGTCTCAAAATAAAACTATACACCTATGGTCAAATGAACTTTTTTGTCAATGATATCAAGTCCATTTAATAAGGAAACAACATATGGTGCAGAAAATTGAAGTACATTCAAGTCTGAAAATACAAAACTAGAAATACATTCAAAAGTACATAAAGATGGTCAACTGCATGACATAAAAAATTTTTCTTTTACTTTTCAAAGAGAAGAGCAAACTGGGAGTGGGCAGGGTGGACGGGGAGAAAAGTGCAACAATGGATGAATGGAAATCCAAAATCTCTGTAAATGTTAATTGAAATTAATAATAATTTAAAAATGTAACTCATTATGAATGAATGACATAAATATTAAAAACTAAAACCATAGAAGTTTTAGAAAGAAATAAAGCAGTAAATCTTAATTTTGGATTTACAGTGTATTCTGTGATCATACTAAAAACACAAACAATAAAAGAAAAAAATAAGGTGTATTTTATTATAAGGTTTTGTGCTTCCAAAGACTCATAGATTGAAAAAAAAATCTTTAGGAAATCATGCATCTGATAAGGGCCTATCATCCAGAACATATAAAGAACTCCTACAACTCAGTAATTATGACCACTTTAAAGAGTGATCAAATGACCTTTCTCTAAATTAAGTATACAATGGCTAATCAGTTTATGAAAAGAAGTTCAAAGAAATTAGAAATTCAGGAAGAGCAAATGTAAACTATAAAATGATATCACTTTAAGGGGAGCTCTGGTGACCTAGTGGCAAGGAGCTGCAACTACAATCCCAGAGGCGCACGGTTCAAATCCACCAGATGCTCTGCGGGGAAGGAGGGACAATCTCCTCCCGTAGCAGTCAGATGTGATTTGACGGTACACTCACACAAACATAATAAAAAATTTTAAAAAAATGATACCACTTTATATCCACCAGAATGACTTTAATAAAAAGGTAGAAAGAAATGCTGGTAATGATGCTGAGGAACTAGAATTCCCCTGTGTTGACAGTGAGAATGTAAAAGGGACAGTTCAGTAATTCCTTAGACTTAGTTGCTGTCCAACAACTCCACTCTTACATATATATGCAAAAGAATTACGTAGTCAATTGTTTGTTAGTGCTTCTAGCAGTATTTTCCATAACAGTTAAAACATGAACACCCAAATATCCATTAGCTGATGAATGGAAAACCAAGAGGTGATCATATATATATATATATATAGGCAAAGAAATATTGTTCAATCATTTAAAGGCATGTATGAGAATGATGAACTTTGTTTTAGTGGGACCCGTGAACTTGCTTATTTTTTGCTTGTATTAAATTCCACAGTAGGTGAATAGTGAAGAAAATAATGACTGGTCAGTCCTTCAGGTGGCCACCAGACACAATAACTTGTGGAAAAAGATCTGCTCAGTTTCTTGAGAACGATAACCAGAATCCAGAATGCTTCAGTGGGAATATGCACAGCCACGTGACACAAGAGATGAGAGTGAAAGACACAAGGGC